ATCTCATTAGCTGACATTTCACATTTACAACAATAGTTAAAAATCTACTATGCAACGATTTTGTGTATTAACAATTTATGCCTGGCAGTAACCAACGCTTAGGTGTGAGGCGAGGGTAATGCTGGCTTTGATGGCTAAGATTATGTGTCAGCTTGGCTGGGCCATAATTCTCAGTGGTTTGGCAGTTATGTAATGATGTAATTTGCCAGTTATGTAATGATGTAGTCATTCTCCATTTTGTGATCTGATGTGGTCATCTTCCATTTTTGCATAACACTGATTTTGCACAATGACCTGATTTTTGGAACCTAACCGTGTCGATAAGTGAGGAGAGGGCGTATATTGAGCCTCTCCTATATGCCAGGCACTGTTATAAGTGCTTTACATGTATTAATTCATTCAACAGTTATGTGCCTTATGAGGTAGCTGTCAGTGTTATTCACATTTTATGGATAGAGAAACCGAGGCATAGAACACTTAAGTAACTTGAATAAAGTCTTAACAATTAGTGATTGTTGGAACCCAGATTCAAATCATGACGTTGTAGTTCTGCAATATCTATTTTTAAAGCTTATGTTAGGCTGCCTCCTAATAGTCAAATTTAATGTTATGAATATTCAACCTTTCTTTAGTTAAATGTAAGGAGCCCTGGTGGTGCAGTGGTTAAAGCACTCAGCTGCTAACTAAAAGGTCAGCCATTTGAACCCACCAGCTGCTCCTTGGGAGAAAGATGTGCAGTCTGCTTCTGTAAAAATAATAGCCTTGGAAATCCTATGGGGATATTCTGCCCTGTCCTGTAGGGTTACTATGAGTCGGAATTGACTTGATGGCGGTGGGCTTGGGTTTTTGGTTTTTGGCTTAGTTAAATGCAATTGAGGGCACATTTTTTGTTTTTATTCCACCATCTTTCCCCATAAAGTGGTCATTCAACATTATCTTCGTCTGCATCTTTGTCTCTTAGTGCATCTTGTTTTGTGGTGTGGTTTTACAGCTAAACCTTGGGTTTAGGCTGTGAATGGATTTCCCTGGTGTACCTTAATTCTTAATCTTCATTCATACAAAGATCAGTCTTCGTATCAATCAGCTTCGAGCTAATTCAGAGCATTTTTTCGGTGCTTACTCACTAGATTTGTCAGTCCATAAACCAAACTCTGCAAAATTGTACAGTCATCAGCTCACAGACCTTCCTGCAGAGCTATTTAAAACCTTTTAAATAGTTGGTGTTGGGTGCCTGAAAGTTCTAGGAGCACTACCAGTAGTCTTACCCTAGCTTCCAGGACCTTTGGCAACCTCAAGTACAGCCTCATAAAAGAGATTGAATAAATTTGTACCTATTATGTAGTTTTATACAAAAGGAAATATATGACTTCGGATAAAAATATGTCTGGTAGCAACTCAAGTAGACTCACTGGGTAAGTTTATGGTTTTTTAGAGATAACCTCCTAATTAAAAACAAAAAACAAAAACTTTTTTTCTTCTTATTTTAAAAAACATAGTTACTAAAACCCTAAACTTTATCTAGGTTTTATTTTATTATCATTTTTATTTTTCAAATTAGTCTTTGATAAAGGCAGGAAAAATGGTACATATGTTCAAGTAAAAATCCTCTAACATAGAATATGTAGCTGATATCATCATTTAGTGGGCAAGAAGAAAAGAGAAAGGTAACATGACTAGCAAGATGGGAGATGGTACTTAATTTTCTAGTTCTTCTATCTAGAGAAGCATTTTTAAAGAGAGAAATATCTGTCCTCAAAAGATTTTTGAATCAATTAGAAAGGGATTGTAGTTTTGCATAGGAGTACCTCTAGTTTATGCAAGTCGGTCATGCTCCATGTGGGCCTGGCAAACCAGCGACGTTACAGAATTTGTTGGATTTCCTGACTGCTTGACAAACAGAACAGTATTTGCAAATAAATAGGGGCTTACTGGAATAAAAACATAATATGGATGCAGGTTCTCTTAAATAAACCTGGGCCACCAACTGTGCATATGTTGGTTAGTGTTACTATGTGTATTGCACCATCCTTCTGCTCAATCAGTTTTGTTCTCATGAGAAACAGAGTATTAGAACAGGATACATTACATTTCTGTTTCACAAGAGCTAGAGGTTAAGATCCTTGCAAATGATAAAACATACTGTTTTCAGGGTAGAGGTGCAGGTAAAGAATTAGAAATTTGAAATATATAAGGAAAGCCTGTTTCATAAGTAAGAAAATGCAAACATCAACCTAGTTTTGATAACATAAAATAGGAAAGTTAGGCTTTTCACCGTGTTAATGTCTTGATATACAGATCCAGCAGGCTATGAAGTTAGAATAATTTGAATAATGCTTGAAGTAGCAATAAGATGATTCAGACTTTCTATGATAACTATAGTTTAAATTAAATTCACAATAACCTCAACTATTAGACTCTTATTAAAAATTGACTTAAGACATTTTAATCTTCATTGTTAAATAATTTAAGTAATTTCAGATTTTCTGTTAGAATAATATCTTCATTTTTTTAAAAAAATGCTTTTTCCTTCTGTATCTTGCTTAAGCTTCACAATACTTTGTGAGGTAGATAGGGCAGGAAATGTGTTATAAGTAATGAAAATGAAGCACAGAGAGGCAAAATGACTACCTTAGGTCACCTCTTCATTTGATGACAGAGCCAAGAATGGTGCTATTTATACCTTCAAGGATATTTATAAGGTGTTCATCCAAAATCTGGGGATGGTCATTTGTTAACAGTATTCTGTATACTTTCCCATGGAATGTTGTCTACAATAAACTGAAAGGATCTACTCCATCTTGGGACCAAAGAAAGATGAAAAATTTGACAGCTTGAACAGTTTCATACACCAAGTTCATAAAGCTTGCATGAAGTAATGGGAAATATATATGGGAAAATTCTTCCCTAGTTATCAGGTTTAGAGGCTGAGTTCCAGTATTTAGCTATAATTTTTACAGAAAGTCAAGGGGAAATAAAATAAACTAGTTAATAGCATGCCACATTTTTTATTTTATTTTTTAATTTTTATTTTTTTAAAATTTTTTTATTGTACTTCAGGTGAAGGCTTACAGAAAAAATAGTTTCTCATGAAACAGTAGTACACATATTGTTTTATGACATTGGTTAACAACTCCACAACATGTCAACCCTCTCCCTTCTCAACTTTTTTTTTTTCTGGTGAAAATATACATAGCCAAAGATACACCGTTTGAAAAATTTCTACATGCACGTCGACTACGCTCTTCCAATTGTGCTGCTATTCTCACTTAAGATGAAGACTTACAGAACAAAATAGTTTCTCATTTAACAGTTAGTATACATGTTGCCCTATGACAATGGTTAACAACCTCGCAACACGTCAACACTATCCTTACTGAACCTTGGGTTCCTTATCACCAGCTTCCTTGTCCCCTTCTGCCTTCTGGCACTTGTCCCTGGACTACTGTACCTCATTAGTCCCATTTGGTTTTATGGGGCTGTCCACTCCCAGGCTGAACGGTGAACCTCAGAGATGACTTCACCACTGAGCTAAAAGGGTTTCTGGGGGCCGTACCCTCTAGCATGCCACATTTTTTAAAGAAAAACAACAAAGAAGCAACAAACTCCAAGTATCATGGATTTGCACATTTTGGTCCTCACTTTGTTTTAAAAAAAGAAAATTATGTTCTCAGTGATCATAAATCTAATGTAGAAATGGAAAATAGACTTTGTTATAATAATTTTGTTAATTGTCAGTTTCTATGAATTTTGAATTTCTTGCTAATCTGGATAGGCTACAACAGGCAACAGCTTTTGTGTTGCTTCATGATGGTAAGTCAGCTGCCATTAATTTAAAGAGCTTCTGCCTCAGCAAATTGTACTTCGATGTGTTTATTTTGAGACAAATGTTTATGAAAGATCCCCAGTCTCTCTATATTTAATAGCAGTTCTTCCCAGATAGTTCCGCCAAAAATACGTTACTTACCTTGTTCATATCAATAAATTTATAATTCATTTGATATAATTTCAAATGTAGCAAATGATATGAAATTAGTTTTGATCTGATGTATGTATTGTCTAGATAGAAGCTAGTTAACCAGGTAGTTATTGTTCAATATATTGCAAATAATACAAATATGCATATAGCATTAATTCTATATTTACTTTTGGCCATATCTGAAATAGTGGTGCACATGTCTTTGTTACACTCTTTAGAACTCTTGCTCTGGTTATTTTAAGTTGCTTTGCACTAATATGTTGTTTCTCCTCTGCTAAATTGTTTGAATGTATGCTATCTATTCTAGAATACACATCTGTTGTGGATGCTTTCTGTGCAGACCAGATGGGCCTTTTAAAGCTAAATAACTGTTGACTTATTTCATGAAATTGCCTATTCGAGAGTCTAAGAAAGTTTTGTTTTTTTCTGTTTTATATCTTAATAACTATGCGTTCTTCAAGATGTTTTACAAGCGCTATCATACTTAATCCTCATAGATAATCTTTAGGTTTGGCATTATTAGCCTCCTTTTACAGATGAGAAAATTGAGGCTTAGAAAAGCTTTCACAGCTAGGAAGTAGACAGACCCATGTCTGTTGTCTCTGAAGGCCAACTCTTAGTCAACTACAATATATGGTATCCACAGATAATTTTGATTTCAGCATTATTGGCTCTTCAGAAGTGTGATTCATGGTAAATTTAGGGCTGCACTATTTGACAACCTGATGCTGTAAAGAATATTATGACAGAACTTTAAGGTAAAGATGATACAACTTGAAGAAATCAAATGCTTTGTCAAGGGCCCAACAGGGTAGTGGCAGATCTGAGATTAGATATTAGAATTTTAGCCACTTGGTGTGCTTACAACTTTTATATACGTGGCCTTTTAATTCTAGATTTTAAGGCGTGAGTGATTATTTATATGGGAACATTAAGTGTCATATATTTCATATTATATCTCCTTTATGCAAAACGAACACTGTATAATAAATGAAATTTCCTTTTTTTTTTTTTTTATTTACAGTGGGATGCATCGTGCTTTCATTCTGGAGTTCAAGTCTGTGGCTTGGATTTACCATAGTCGCGTCTGTTTTCGATTTGTGTGTTAACTAGAAATTAAGGAAAGACATGAGGAGATTTGTTTACTGCAAGGTGGTTTTAGCCACTTCACTGATGTGGGTTCTCGTTGATGTCTTCTTACTCCTCTACTTCAGTGAATGTAACAAATGCGATGACAAGAAAGAGAGATCCCTGCTCCCTGCGCTGAGGGGTAAGTGCTGAGGAAGTGAATGTATTTTTCTAGAGATGAGAAGGGTAGTGACTCTTGACAAAATATGAAACTTTAAGAGTTGTTTCCGCTTATTGAGTTAGAAGAGCATTTGGCAGATTTATTAATGTACATTTAACCATGGGGCCAGCAACTTTTCTTGGCCTCAGGTGTCTTGTCTGAAGAAATAAGGGAAATTAGCTAACCTCTAAGGTACCTTCCAATTCTAATAATTCCATTTTGTGGCTATAAGGGAACTAATTTGGTGAACACTGGACAGAATTTTAAGTCTAGGCTCACAGAAGTCCAGAGTTTTTAGACATCAAGCAAATAATATAAAAGTGAAAAGCCTATAAGTGCAAGACAAATGGAGACTGTAGCAAATTAGAATGTGCATGACACTTCTAAAGACTTTCAAATACAAAAAAAAAAAAAAAATTTTTTAAACAAAACACATGTTGGTGGCTGGATTCAACATGTGGGCCACCAGTTTGTTACCCTACTTTAAGTGCAAATGATAATTTCAAGTATATTATAAAGCCACTTTAACTCAGTATTTCCCTCCATTGGGAACCAGTTTCAATGACTAGGTAAGAGTGAATTCTAAAGAAAGAAATCCTAAAATAATGATTTATATAAATGCTGCTATATTCATTTAAGACTAGAGATTAATTTCCTGCAGAGTGATTCCAAATAGTTTCCTCTATGCTTTTTTGTTAACTTCTAGATCTGTAAGTGTAATTATATTTCTAAAATATTCCTAGTAAGTGGGTGCTTTTTAAAGTAGTGAAGAGTACTTGAAATTAGTTTTATTCTCATTAACTTAAACATTTGTAGCTTGAAATCTGGCGTACAACATTAATTCTCTGCTTAGCAAAAATTTTCTTCATAAATAGGACAAAATGTAAACTTTAACTGAGTCCCAGTTGAAATGCTTGTACCTTTTGGAAAATTGCAACTGAATTACTAAACTGAGATTTTCATTTATTTAATGAATATAATTTGCTTTTGGTGTTATAGATATTTTTGAAGTTATTATTAGTAAAAATATGATAATAAACAGAATTATGTTGATACTATCCAGTTGTATGAGGTTTAGGGAAGCACAGAAGAGCATTTTTAAAAAGTAATTTTTGTTCAAATAGTATTTTAGACATCCTGGGCTTGCTTTGGATTGTCATAATGTACTCTGGCTCAATCGGTGAAACTCTGAGTATCTTAGTCTTCCTTTCAGAATGTGCTTAACTGTCTCACTGTAGTTTTTGACTAGTACAAAGAATTGAGAAATAGTACTTTGGAAGCGAGTGAGCCTCGACTCATTTAGATAGTTTATATGCATTTTTTATGCCCTTATCCTACAATTATTCAGAGAGAAGAACTTTATGAGTCTATCCGTTTTTGGTAAATGAACATAGGAATTGATTTGCTGATCTTTGGTTAAAATCCCAGAATAAATCAAGCTTCTCTGCTTCTTTGTTATAATCAGTTGAGTTGCTGCTTGGCTGAAAGTGGAAATGTATTTTGATGGATTACATCAGTTTGGAATGATCACTTTGTCATTTCTTGAATAGAGGCATCTAGATTGGTCACAAAAAAATGTAATAACCTGATTCAGCAAAACTGTGTCAGACTTTTCTGCAAGTAGAATTTTGATGATTTAAGTTCTTAATGCTAGGTTGTAAATCTGAAAATATGAGATTTACTGATTCAAGGCAAAAAAATCACAATTTTTCCTTGTCCTTATATTGCAACATTAAACTTTATTCTCTTTATTTTTAAGACTTTTTTAATGTTGTAGCTTAAAATTTTTTTGTCTTGAATAAATGGAAAAAAGACTTTAGGATTAAAAAAAAATTCTAAAGTTACTTCTTGTTTCAGAATATTACTTTATTTAGGAATCTGTATCCTGTATTTAAAATAATATATTTATTACAGGCTGAAGATACTGTGCAAAGTGCAGTTAACTGACATTTTCACATTTGAAATCTACTACGAAAGGCTTTTTGAATGAAAAAAGTTGACCTTTTGGACCTGTGTGTCTCCATTATTAAAACAAAGATTTTAGACTATGTGTTTTCAAAGATTTCTTCTAGTTTTACATTTTAAACAATTTCTAAACACCTTAATGTGGGTCTAGTATAAGACAAAACTTAACAGAAACTGTGGCATTTAGGCTGAAACCTAAAAGATAAAAGTAGAAAATAGCTAGTTGAAGAAGAAACTATTAAAATTTTCACAGAATGGTAAAGATTCCAGAACACCCAGGATTCTTCTGAAGGAGAAAAATACAGAGTAGGAATGTGACGTATCAGATATCAGATGTCATGGATTGAATTGTGTCCCCCAAAAATACGTGTCAACTTGGCTAGGCCATGATTCCCAGTATTGTGTAGTTGCCCTCCATTTTTTGATCTGATGTAATTATCCTCCATTTTGTGAGGTGTTGTAAATCCTAACCTGTATATGTTAATGAGGCAGAATCAGTGTGAAGTGCTTCTTGAGTCATAGCCATTCAAGAGTGTGTGACTCAAGTCACACCCTTACATAAGTCATACCCTTGCTTGCATCACACCTTTTATCTTACAAGAGATAAAAGGAGAGAGAAGTGAGCAGAGAGGAGAGTGGCCTCACTACTACCAAGAAAGAAGTGCCAGGAGCAGAGCACGTCCTTTGGACCTGGGGTCCTTGTGCTGAGAACCTACTAGACCCACGGGAAGATTGATGCTAAGACACATGGAGATCTCCAACGAACGCCGGGCCCACAGATGTTGAAAGGATACAAGGGCCTTACCCCAGACCTGGCAGAGAGAGAAAGCCTTCCCCTGGAGCTCGTGACCTGAATCTGGACTTCTAGCTTCCTAAACTGTGAGACAATAACTTTGTTTGTTAAAGCCATCTGTTTGTAGTATTTTTGCTACAGCAGCACTACATAACTAATACATTGGGTTTTATATAACTAGAGTAATTAAGACTATGTAGTATATTCACAAAAGTTGACAAATTTACTAGTGAATTGAAAGAGACACCCCAGAAATAAACCCACGCATGTTTGGTACGTTTAGTATATGACAGAAGAGGTACTACAGAGCAGTGGGGAAAAGGGTGCGGTTAATAAATGGAGCTGAAAATAAAATGTTAAAACACATGAAAAAGATGAAATTGGTGTCATAAACCAAGATAAACTTTGGAAGTATTAAAGACTTAAATGTCAAAAACAAAACTTTAAACTTTTAACAGAAAAAAATTAGGTATATATAAGCCCTTGGGATAAGGAACATTTTCTTAAACAAAAGACAAATACGTTGACACACTGATTATAAAAGAAAATATTGATAAATTTTACTATATTAAAATTGAGAAATTTGGTTCATTCAAATATGACTTAAAGTAAAAAGACATGTTACAAACTGTAAAAGATATTCAAAGAACACATAACTGACAGATTAGTATCAAGTGTACATAAAGAATCCCTAATTTTAATAAAAAAACCCAAATTGAAAAAAAAAAGTGGGCATCAAACATGAAAAGATACTTCATAAAAAAGTAAACACATATGGCAGATAAACATGGAGATGTATTTAACATCAGTTGTGATCAGGGAAATGCAAGTGAAGGCTGCAATTGATATTTGTATGTTTTCAATCAGCAAAAATTAAAAAGACTGATAATACCAATTGTTAGTGATGGTTGTTGCACTTTTGTAATAACTTCAGATAACAATTTTTCATTATCTCTTAAATCTGAACATTCATATATTTTCCAACACTCTTTGGCATAACCAGCAACATTTCTTCCACATATGCAAGTATGTTCATAACATTACTGTTTGTAAAAGTAAAATCTGGAAGTAACTCACAGACCCATTGTCTTAGGCTAGGTTCTCTAGAGAAGCAAAACTTGTGAAGTGTGTATATATATATATATATATATATACACTTATGTATGTATATGTGTATATAAATATATATTATATACATTTATATTTATATATATAGATATGCTTCACTGTGTCTGTGTGTGTGTGTGTGTGTGTGTGTGTGTGTGTGTGTGTGTGTGTGTGTATAAGTATTTATCTCAATGAAATGGCTCACTTGGTTGTGGAGGCTGGTAAAGTCCCAAAGTCCAAGGATCAGGCATCGGTTGGAGGCTTCTCCTGACTCATGCAGTTTCAGGGGCTTAAAAACCCAGAATCGGCATATCAGATGGTAGGCTGCTGGCTTATAGGGCTGCAGAAACTGGCAAAATCCAGAAGTTGGCAGACAGATCAGGTGACAGGCTGCTGGCTCACAGGGCTGCAGAGCTGGTGAATCCCAAAGTAGGCAGTTCAGACCACAAGCTTCTGGATGAAGTCCCAAGAACTGGAGGTTAGATGATCACAAGCTGGAAACAGGATCCAGAGCAAGCGAGTTTTGCCAGAATGTCCATATATATACTGGGTGCAGGCCACACCCAGGGAAACTCCTCTTACAACTAATTGGCTGATCACATCAGATCACATCATGGAGATGATTACATTATATCACAAAACGGAAGATAATTATATCAGATCAAAAAAAGAATTACATAATACTGAGAATCATGGCCTAGCTAAGTTGACACATAACATTAACTATCACAATCTACTTCATGTCAACTTGGCACCTGTACATATCTCCTTAAACTAGACATAATCTTCAAATAAAAACAATTATAAAGTCATATTTGCACCTAATATGATACAACTAGCATGCATACAGCCAAAAACCAAAAACGTGCTAGCCTCATTTACATCTTACATTTTATAATTGATGGGATAAGGGAGGGAACAAAACAAAAATGTTTGCTCTCTCTCTCTCTCTGTGTGTGTGTGTGTGTGTGTACATACATACACGTATAATAAAACAAGAAAAATAGTCAAGTACACACGCACATACATGTATAATAAAACAAGAAAGAAATATTCGCATGTACACCCACATACATGTATAATAAAACAAGAAACAAACATTGTAAGAATTACAGTC